TTCTCATTTTGACACATAAAACTACTATTTATTCTCTTTTTGACACATAAAACTACTATTATTTCTCATTTTGATACACAAAACTATTATTATTTCTCATTTTGACACATAAAACTACTATTTATTCCCATTTTGATACAAAAAACTACTATTAATTCTCATTTTGATACACAAAACTACTATTAATTCTTATTTTGATACATAAAACTACTATGAATTCTCATTTAGATACACAAAACTACTAGCAAGGCCCTTTTTTGTACAAACCCTGTTGTAGGGCTCGTTTTATTATACAAATCTACAAGTAGGGCTTATTGAAGTTATTATGATACATAAACCTACAATTTAGGCTTATTTTTGATACACAAACCTACCAGTAGGAATTATTTTGATACACATACCTACTAGTGGGGCGTATTTTGTTACACAAACCTACTAGTGATGCCTAATTGAATACACAAACCTACTAGTAATGCTTATTTGTATACACAAACCTACTAGTAATGCCTAATTGTATACACAGACCTACTAGTGATGCCTAATTGTATACACAAACCTACTAGTGATGCATAATTGTATGCACAAACCCACTAGTGATGCCTAATTGTATGCACAAACCTACGAGTAATGCCTAATTGTATACACAAACCTACTAGTGATGCCTAATTGTATACACAAACCTTCTAGTGATGCCTAATTGTATACTCAAACCTACTAGTGATGCCTAATTGTATGCACAAACCTACTAGTGATGCCTAATTGTATACACAAACCTACTAGTGATGCTTAATTGTATACACAAACCTACTAGTGATGCCTAATTGTATACTCAAACCTACTAGTGATGCCTAATTGTATACACAAACCTACTAGTAATGCCTAATTGTATACACAAGCCTACTAGTAATGCCTAATTGTATACACAGACCTACTAGTGATGCCTAATTGTATACACAAACCTACAAGTAATGCCTAATTGTATACACAAACCTACTAGGGATGCCTAATTGTATACACAAACCTTCTAGTGATGCCTAATTGTATACACAAACCTACTAGTAATGCCTAATTGTATACACAGACCTACTAGTGATGCCTAATTGTATACACAAACCTTCTAGTGATGCCTAATTGTATACACAAACCTACTAGTAATGCCTAATTGTAAAAACAAACCTACTAGTGATGCCTAATTGTATGCACAAACCTACTAGTGATGCCTAATTGTATACACAAACCTACTAGTAATGCTAATTTGTATACACAAACCTACTAGTGATGACTAATTGTATACACAAACCTACTAGTAATGCCTAATTGTAAAAACAAACCTACTAGTGATGCCTAATTGTATGCACAAACCTACTAGTGATGCCTAATTGAAAGCACAAACCTACTAGTAATGCCTAATTGTATGCACAAACCTACTAGTAATGCCTAATTGTATACACAAACCTACTAGTGATGACTAATTTTATACACAAACCTACTAGTAATGCCTAATTGTATACACAAACCTACTAGTGATGACTAATTTTATACACAAACCTACTAGTAATGCCTAATTGTATGCACAAACCTACTAGTGATGCCTAATTGAATGCACAAACCTACTAGTAATGCCTAATTGTATACACAAACCTACTAGTGATGCCTAAATTTATACACAAACCTACTAGTAATGCCTAATTGTATACACAAACCTACTAGTGATGCCTAAATTTATACACAAACCTACTAGTAATGCCTAATTGTATACACAAACCTACTAGTGATGCTTAATTGTATACACAAACCTACTAGTGATGCCTAATTGAATGCACAAACCTACTAGTGATGCCTAATTGTATACACAAACCTTCTAGTGATGCCTAATTGTATACACAAACCTACTAGTAATGCTTATTTGTATACACAAACCTACTAGTAATGCCTAATTGTATGCACAAACCTAATAGTGATGCCTAATTGTATACACAAACCTACAAGTGATGCCTAATTGTATACATAAACCTACTAGTGATGCCTAATTGTATACACAAACCTACTAGTAATGCCTAAATGTATACACAAACCTACTAGTGATGCCTAATTTTAGACACAAACCTACTAGTAATGCCTAATTGTATACACAAACCTACTAGTGATGCATAATTGTATACACAAACCTACTAGTAATGCCTAAATGTATACACAAACCTACTAGTGATGCCTAATTGTATGCACAAACCTACTAGTGATGCCTAATTGAATGCACAAACCTACTAGTAATGCCTAATTGTATGCACAAACCTACTAGTGATGCCTAATTGTATGCACAAACCTACTACTGATGCCTAATTGTATGTACAAACCTACTAGTAATGCTTACTTGTATACACAAACCTACTAGTGATGCCTAATTGTATGCACAAACCTACTAGTGATGCCTAATTGTATGCACAAACCTACTAGTGATGCCTAATTGTATGCACAAACCTACGAGTGATGCCTAATTGTATACACAAACCTCAAGTGATGCCTAATTGTATACACAAACCTACTAGTGATGCCTATTTGTATACACAAACCAACCAGTAGGAATTATTTTGATACACAAACCTACTAGTGATGCTTAATTGTATACACAAACCTACCAGTAGGAATTATTTTGATACACAAACCTTCTAGAAGGGGTTATTTTGATACACAAACCTGTTAATAAAGCTGATTTTAACACACAAATCTACATTTGATATACAATCTTATTAGTAAGACTCGGTTAGATATACAAACCTACTAGTAAATCTCAGTTTGATAAAGAAGCCTACTTATACGGCCCATTATTTTACAAACCCTGTTGTAGGGATCATTGCACTATACAAATCTATAAGTAGGGCTCCTTTTGATATAAACAACAATCTAGTAGGCTCATTTTCTTTTATAAGCCTACCAGTAGAGCTAACTTTCTATGATAAGCCTACCAGTAGGGCTCATTATCTTTTATAAGTCTACCAGTAGGGCTCATTTTCTTTGATTAGCATACCAGCAGTGCTTGGTTTATTTTATTTTGTAAGCCTTCCAGTAGAGCTAACTTTCTATGATAAGCCTACCAGTAGGGCTCATTTTCTTTAACTAGCATACCAGCAGTGCTTGGTTTTTGTTTTGTAAGCCTACCAGTAGGGCTCATTTTCTTTCATCACATACGAGTAGGGCTTATTATCTTTTATAAGTCTACCAGTAGGGCTCATTTTCTTTGATTAGCATACCAGCAGTGCTTGGTTTTTGTTTTGTAAGCCTACCAGTAGGGCTCATTTTCTTTGATGAGCATACCAGCAGTGCTTGGTTTATTTTGCTTTATAAGCCTACCAGTAGAGCTCATTTTCGTTTATAAGCCTAGGAGTAGAGCTCATTTTCGTTTATAAGCCTAGGAGTAGAGCTCATTTTCGTTTATAAGCCTAGGAGTAGAGCTCATTTTCGTTTATAAGCCTACCAGAAGAGCTTATTTTATTTTATAAGTCTACAAGAAGGGCTGATTTTCTTTAATTAGCATACCAGCAGTGCATGGTTTATTTTGTTTTGTAAGCCTACCAGTAGAGCTAACTTACTATGATAAGCCTACCAGTAGAGCTCATTTTCGTTTATAAGCCTACCAGAAGAGCTTATTTTATTTTATAAGTCTACCAGTAGGGCTCATTTTCTTTAACTAGCATACCAGCAGTGCTTGGTTTTTGTTTTGTAAGCCTACCAGTAGAGCTCATTTTCGTTTATAAGCCTACCAGAAGGGCTTATTTTATTTTATAAGCCTACCAGTAGGGCTCATTTTCTTTGATGAGCATACCAGCAGTGCTTGGTTTTTGTTTTGTAAGCCTACCAGTAGGGCTCATTTTCTTTGATGAGCATACCAGCAGTGCTTGGTTTATTTTGTTTTGTAAGCCTACCAGTAGAGCTCATTATCTTTTATAAGCCTACCAGTAGAGCTAACTTTCTATGATAAACCTACCAGTAGAGATCATTATCTTTTATAAGCCTCCCAGTAGAGCTCATTTTCGTTTATAAGCCTACCAGAAGAGCTTATTTTATTTTATAAGTCTACCAGTAGGGCTCATTTTCTTTAATTAGCATACCAGCAGTGCATGGTTTATTTTGTTTTGTAAGCCTACCAGTAGATCTAACTTTCTATGATAAGCCTATCAGTAAAGCTCATTATCTTTTATAAGCCTCCCAGTAGAGCTCATTTTCGTTTATAAGCCTACCAGTAGGGCTCATTTTCTTTGATGAGCATACCAGCAGTGCTTGGTTTTTGTTTTGTAAGCCTACCAGTAGGGCTCATTTTCTTTAACTAGCATACCAGCAGTGCTTGGTTTATTTTGTTTTGTAAGCCTTCCAGTAGAGCTAACTTTCTATGATAAGCCTACCAGTAGGGCTCATTATCTTTTATAAGCCTACCAGTAGGGCTCACTTTCTTTGATTAGCATACCAGCAGTGCTTGGTTTATTTTGTTTTGTAAGCCTACCAGTAGGGCTCATTTTCTTTGAAAGCCTAAAATTAGCGCTCTTTTACTTTTATAAGCATACGAGCAAGGCTCATTTTCTTCAATAAGCTTACCAGTAGGGCCCATTGTCTTTGATAAACCTACCAATAGGGCTCATTTGCTTTTCTAAGTCTACCAGTAGGGCTCATTTTCTTTTATAAGCCGACCAGTAGGGCTTGTGATACACGGGAGTTACACATGACATATACAGAAAACTATATGTATTTATGAAAAGAGACTTGGCCAAATCACATCGATAAAATCATCGGGTTTAATACGAATTCTTTAGCCTTTTGAGATTGCGCCTATCTTTACGTCGTTATGAATATAATATTAATTATTTAATAAAAGTGAAATAGGCAAGATAAGCACAAGACTGTCACCTTACATTGTTATTCCGTCTAAATTATTGTACATTAATAAACACAAAACAAAATTAATGGTAAAGTTATATAAATTTATTAGATATAAAAATACAGGTAAAATAACAGTATAGCACTCTACAGTAAAACAAGTAATGTCGGTTCTGTGAACTGGTAATCACGATACACTGTAACATACCACAAATATAACAGTATAGAACTTGAGATTAAAAACAGCTCTTCAAAACAGTCCAGTAACAACGTCAGGTCTGTTAGTGACCTTGCCCTGTCACATAATCATCCAACTAATATATCTTGCAGTGTTTGTCTACTGCTTCTATGTGACCCGATAAGTTCGTGTCAATAAAGCAGGACGTTTCCAGCTGATCTTTACCATATCTACCATTGTCGGTTTCTAATATGAGTATAACGAAACTTCAAACGTGCCGTCCGCATACAGTTTTCTTCTTGTCTCCGGCAGACCAGGATTTGGATTTCGACCGGAAGTGACGCAAGTCCTCACAGTGACCAGGATGTAGCATGGGCATGTATTCCATAGGCTGACACAGAGTCTACAAAAAGAAAATGTTGAATTTATAAACAAGTGACCAATCATAATTTGATCCGGAAATGTTAATATAGTATACTGATCGTGCTTATTTTATTCCATGCTATTAAACTTACAAAGTGTCATGCTATCATGTTTTTTCTTTCTTTATAATTTGTGCACTAGAAATTAAATATCAAAACTAAGAATACTATTTATTCGTATAAACAAGAAAATGTATAACAAATTTTGATACTATCTCTAATGTTCATAAGTTATATATATAAAACTTACCCTGTCATTGTGATAGAAAGCCTTGAACCCGCCGTCAAGGAGGTACACCTCGGGGAAGGTCAAGGCCGGGTAGTTAGCCTCGTTCTGGGCACGGTCATGGGTTCTCAAGAATCGCATCCTATCAAAAGTAAATGAAAAGGATTAGAATGGACACATCCAAATGTGACGGTGTTGAAGTAGTGACAATACGGTAATTGTACACCATCATTGATAAATAATCTATTGTTAACAGTGTAAGTACTGTCTCGCCACCAGTGCTATTACTTTTGTAGTATATGTTTAATTATAACCATGGACTTAGATCATCTAATATGATGTTTTACAGCTGATGTTCATTTTTGGAGGTGTTTAATTTGACAAGAGTTTCAAATGACATGGTTTAATTATGTCTGACTCCGGGAACCTTTGAAGTGGCCTAATAGTTTTAAATAAATGGAATCTTCATGAAATGCGTTGTTGAAAAAAAATCAATGGGTATCGTGAAACTTACATTTTGGGCCCCCTCTCCGAGGAGAATTCACAGTGAAAGATGAGGATGTTTCTCTTCCCAGTGACGTCAATCCGTCGTTCCTGAAGCAGCTGCTGGACCTGGTCACGTGTATACCTGTTCTCCGCATTCTGAGGAAAGATAGAAAACATTTCATTTGAACGATGGTTTTATCAAAATAATTTCCTGACAACTGTAAATAAATGCTTAATAGTTTGACTGCACGTTAACGTTCTTATATTGAGAATCTATTCAGGTCTGTGTAAGGGCGATTCGGTAGTTTTATAAACGCTTGTGCTAGGGGAAATAACTCTCCAGTCATATCGAAAAGCCACTCGGGCAATGAGATTGTCTCCCCACAATGAGATTGTCTCCCCTACAATGAGATTAACTCCCCTACAATGCGAGTTAATTAATCCAGCTCGTGCACTCACATTGCCGGACAAAAGTCGTTAACGAAAGAAAGTTCGCTCGATTTTCATTAGCATTATGACAAACTCGCTATGATTAATAGAATGATAATTGGAGTCAATTGAGTAGACAAAAGTATCAATATTTTGTACGTGGTACACACCTGTATATGACCTCCCTCGAACTCGTACGGGTATCGACAGTCGATGATTCTGTAGTCATTGATGACGTCATCGTATCTTCCGGTCAGGATATCTGCCATCTGTCAATAAAAGCAAACATATTTTATTTTAGAATACAAATAATTCCGACCAACAAATAAAAAAATAAATATTAACGTTAGCTTCCTATTTCGAAACATGTCTTATGTATGTGACAGAGAACACATGTTACTAGTCATCGTCACACATAAACATTTCACTGCTTGTGCTATATGAACCTATATAGAATTAGCTACTTATCTCTGAGGTATCCATATCTATATTAATAATTCGATCGATCTTCCTGAAATGGAATATTCCTTTTTAATGAAAAATGTTCGAGGAGTACCTCTATTTCATTCTTAAGAAACCTTACTCAATAACAACTTACCGTGTGTGTAGAGATAGACTTGAGGTCCTGGTGTTTGCCCCTGATGGTCGGCAGACAAAACGTGTCAGTCCCGTCCCCCACCAAATCCTCCTCCTCCACCAATCGGTTCACGGCTGTCTTAACGTCACGTGACTCCAACATCAAGTTGTCCTGTGGAAAGAATAAGAATTACATGAAAAATGCTCTTGTTGATGAATGATTCATAATAAACATTGTCTTTCAAATCACAGAGTTGTCGTTAACCAGTAGAGAATGGATACATTTCTAACTATTATTTATATTAAGTAGCCGTCTAATTACAGTTCAACATTGGTTACCCGTAAAATATATTGTCCGATTTGATTTTTATGATACATTACAAGTAAATGTTTTAATTACTTACCCCAAAAGACAGTGCCCTCCTGGACACACCATCGCCCCTCCTCTGTGACTTCGGTGGGGGTGAACAGGAATCTTCATCGTCATCACGTGGACGCTTGCCTGAGAGGAGAGATCGTCTGAAGCTTGTATCACGTCCATTGGCTAATTTTTCATTGGCTACTTTTTCCTAAAAGTAAAAAACGTACAGAAATGTAAAACGTTTATTGCATTTTCTGAAAAAAACCCTGTTGTTGATTTTATATATTTATTCATAAACTTAATTAGAAACAGTAATTGTTAATATCTAATTATTTGACAAGTTTGGCATTCTTACCTGTACGGGGGAATCAAACACGCTGCTGAAATCCAATCTTGTAGATAATTTGTAGTCTGTTGGACTCCCGAACTGAAACACAATCAGGGAAACAAATTAGTCACACATGTAAGGAACAAGGGAGACAACCCGTATTGGCAACAGTATATTCGTTACTTCAGAAATAGACGGATTAGACAAAAGCATTACAATTTTCTTGTGTTACTTAATAAATATAATGTCATTTTAACTAAATAGAGATAATTACATTAAAGATGATAAAATCTCTTACTTGTGGATATTATCTAAAAGATAGCAAACAAACCAAAGGTGATGTAAAGCTATTGAATTAGTAAGATTTATACTGAATAGTTAGATAATGTTTTTTTTCTAAAAACCTTGTTTATATCAAATACTCACCACATCATCATCCATCCCTAGTCCAGAATCCTCATCATCGAACAGCTGACAGAGGTTCTTCTTCACTTCCGGGATCATCAATGATTTGACCTCATCGTCATCAAAGTCAAGGTTGCGACAAGGGGTGAAGGTCAAAGAGGATGTCATCTGTGAAAGAGAATAAAAATTGATATGTAAAATGATTTATTGAAAATAAAGATAACAGAGTGATAAATATAAGTTATTAAACTTGTTTCGTATTTTGTGAAATAAGTAAAGTTTATAATAAACTAAGATATAATAAAAGTCAACAACAAAACGTTATAAACTGTAAAACATATCACATATTTTCCACTCTATAAGAATTTTGGTTTAAATGAAATCCTTGGGTGTACACTGAGGTAACACACCAGGTAAATAGAGTATAAACTTACAATGATAGGTCGAGATAATAAATCTGAAGTGTGGAGTCAAGTTAATCTGGATCTCGTTATAAACTAGCTGGAGTACGGATGATTCGGTGATGGTATGGAAGATAAAGTTGTGATATGGACTAGAGGTAAATCACGTGTATATATATATATATATATACGTCACGGAGAAATCGAAATCTACTTGTATTAACGTCCTCAAGGTGTCTGTACTCACCTCAGTCTGGTCACACCCAAGCCGTCCCGGGCCCCCGGGAGAGGTACTGCATCACCTCAGATTTTACATACACAATTGTTTTTACGGCATTACCGGAACCTATCGCGCATACAGAAATGTAGATAATTACTTATATAAACAATTAGTCTAGGCGTTTCAATTGTTCGATGATTACGTGATAATGAGTTAAGTAATTGTTTTTTTATTGGATGGTTTCAATCACCTACTCAACAGTATCACATTAGCAAGTCAAATAAAAGAATGAAAAAGGCGATTTTCTCTTTTCAGATATAAGCTGCATACAATAGATAAGATAAACGGTCTGTTTCAGGATATTGTTTCAGTTTTAAAATACACAAAAAATACTAATGTGGAAAGATTTTTTTTATAGCTTGACAAAATTCTTGATACAATTGAAAGTTTCCTCTATATCAACATTTGTACAGTTATTTATTTCGAGGCAGGTTACATAAATCGTCACGATGATCTTTTTATGGTATATATTTGGTAGGTCATTAGTAACATGGTTCGTCCCCCACGTATTGATATATTCTCCCGATTAAGGGATTTGCTCTTCTGAAGTTTAATACACTTTCAAATCTCGTTTTGATCAAGGATTTTTTTTAAATAACTATGTATCTGAAAATCTGTCCAAAAAAAGAGATACCTATTGATTACAAAACATCTTTAACAAATTTTAAATAAATTGGCGGTCATTTTGAAATTGATATATTCTTCTGATTTAAGATCCTAAGCCGTCTCCGAAGTGTGTATGTGCGTGTGTGTGTTTCGACATTTCTTCATCTTCATCTATAAACCTTCCTTCGTCAATATTGACGATTACGTAATTTTGGTCTTGTGATGAAGTGCGATGTTATGTACAGTGCTTTTATTGTTTTGTTTTTATTTGCTATAGGATAAAAACAGGTTAAAAGCAGTGAGTGTTAGTTATGTTATAAGATAGCTGGTCTGTTAAATAAGGATATTATTTCAGTTTTAAAAGAGATACAAACAAACAGTAATGAGGAATCGCCTATTTCAAGCTTGGCGCAATTCTTTGGAAGTTTCCTCTATATCAACATTTGTAAAAGTAATTCATTTTGAGCCAAGTTAAAAATGTCATCACGTATTTTTTTAATTTTTATGGTATATATTTGGAAGGTGATTAGTAACATGTTTCGTCCCGAACTTCGTCGGATGTCCAGAATTGAATAATGGATCTGCTCTTCTGAAGATTAATACACTTTCAATTCTTGTTTTGATCTAGTGTAGTAAGACTTTTTTTCAGCATATTTAACATATTATGAACAACTTTAAAAGCAAACATGAATCTGAAAAACCTGTCAACGAAATAGAAACCAATTGTTAACAAAACCATTTTTTACAAGTTTAAAAAAAAATGACCATGTCGGCCATTTGAAATCGATATATTCTCCTTATTATAGATTGAGCGGTCTAGAGTACCAGCCGTATGTTACGGCACGATTTCTCACCCCGACGCTAACAATGGTCCTTTGGACCGGGTGGGCTAAAAATTGAAGTTCCAACAAGTTTGAAATATAGCACAATCCCCAAAAATCAATTTCAGTGTTCGTACTCATGACAACGGGTAATATGCCTACTCCTTACACGACTTCTCACCCGGGTGAGAAATCGTGCCGTAACAGCCGTGCCCGATGTATGTGTGTGTTTCGGCAGAGCCTTATAAAGTCGTTTTGGGATTTATCACTTCATTTGACTCATACGACGCAGTCTGAATGCTAAATTTTTAGTATCATGTTGTATGCACATTAAATCAAAAGAAAAGAAAACAATGCTGCCGCGAGAATAACAACCACGCCTATTTCCACGGTATTCCATTAGAAATGGAAAAAAAATGATTTGATAATTTAAACGAATGTTGTTGGACCAGTGAATAGCCAATCTGTGGCGGACAGTTTTTCAGGTCTGTACGAGGCATGCTGGCCACCATATGTGAATATTTACCCGTGTATCGAGATTGATTGAACTCTACGTGTATGCCTTCTATATTTATATTATATATATGTGTGTACTTACCTGAGCTGTGCTATATATATATAACCGATGTAAGGCGTAAGGTGGATTGCTGACCGATGATTCGTCACGGTCTACTGCATATATGTACTTTGCTCAAGATTAGCGACTGGAAACACGTGCACATGTACAAACTTTTGTATAATCCTTAGACCAGACCATATATTATCAATATACATTGTTACATACTACCGAGGCAATGGCGGATACAGAGGCTGATATCAGTAAGACACTGAGCCAAATGGTGGATATGATGAAGAGAGTAAATGAGAGGCTGGGAACTATTGAAACGCAAGTTCAGAAATTAGGAAGTGTTCAAGCATCACTCGCTTGTAAGGTTGATAAATTAAACAAGGATGCTGAAGATATTCGGAAGAAGAACACTGATATTGAAGTCAGCACGGAAGCAATAAGCGAGTTCTATGAGAGCGTCAAAACGAAAGTTGGACAAAACGAAAAAGAAATAGAGAGGGTACGAAGTGAGGCAGACGACCTGAAGGAATCTACACGTGATCTTTGTGACTCCAGAGCCAAAGTCGAGAATGAGCTGCTGATGTTGAGAAAGGAATGTAATGACCTGAATTGTGTGACTGAGGATCTTCAATGTCGATCGATGAAGAACAACCTTATATTTACTGGACTACAGGAACAGAAATACGAGAACACCGAGGAAAAACTAAAAGATTTCATACGATGGGAACTAGGAATTGAAAGAGACATCCCTTTTGGTAATGTACACCGGTTCCAGCGGTACGTAAGGGGAAAGACCAGACCTATTGTAGCAAGATTCCTTTTCAACAACGACAGACAAATGGTGAAAAAAGTGGCTATATGTTGAAAGGAACTCACTTTGGGATTCGGGAACAGTTCCCTGATGCCGTGGAGGAGCGACGCAAAAAGCTGTATCGCGTTATGAAGCACCACAAGGCAAATGGACACAGTGTTCAAATGGTCAGAGATAGGCTGTATATTTACGGAGAACCATACTTCCCAGGTGATGAGTTATACCAACAAACGGAACAAAGTGACCAGGTAACGTACAGTCAGGCGTTACAACAAGGCGCGAACACAGAAACACCGCGCGGGGAGAAACGCGGGAGGACCTCATCGACGCCGAATGGGGATGGTTCCGAGAGACCACAAGCTCGCGCCAGGACATCTTCGCCTCTTGTCCAGTCTCCCATGTTCACCAGGGATAGGGATCTACCAAGTGCGCGACAGTCACTAGCTGGATATGAGCGCGTTCGATCACCGCGACTTCCAGCAGAGGATTTTACCGCGTCACAACGCCACAGTCCGCGTACACCAGACGGTCATGTATCAGGACAGCGACCCACGATACCGCCAAACGGAAGTAGGCATGATCACAACGGCAGGTTCGATAGAGGATTCGGTAATCGACGCGGGAGATAGGAAAACGGGGGGAGTGTGACAGTAATATCTTGGAATGTTTGCAGATCTCTTACTGACAAGCTAAGGGAGGATGGTTTTCTGGACATAGTTTGCAAGCATGATATCATATGTTTATACGAATGCTGGGTTAAGAAAGAGGATGTCATAGAGTTAACTGATTATACGGCGCATGTCGTGCCGAGATTAAATGGAAAGGGGGGAGGAATCGTTATATTTTATAAAAATGAGCTAAAAGATTACTGTAATATTGTTGAAAATGTAACGGATAGTATTGTAGTTTTTAAAATATCCCGTGTATTATCACTTGATGACAAAGATACGTATCTATTTATCAATTATTTTCCTCCAGCGAATAGTACTTACTATGAAAACCATGATGTAGATCTTTTTGTAAAACTAGAAGAAAGTATTTCCACACAGTGTAACCCTTACACATGTAATATATTAGCTATCGGAGATTTTAATAGTCGAACCGGAGAAGTTGATGATTTTATTACATCTGATCGAATTGGTAATATATCTTGTAACATCCTATCTAATATCGTGAGCTATTTACCTGATAATAACATGAAAAAACGTACAAGCATGGATAAGACTGTTAACCAATTTGGGAGACAATTAATCTCTCTGTGTAAAACAACCGGTTTACGTATTATAAATGGAAGACACACCGATGATGCTATAGGAAATGTTACTTTTTATAATGCAAGAGGTTCGAGTGTCATAGATTATGTATTAACACACGAGTCATGTTTTGAAATTGTTAAAAGTATTGAAGTTGGAGTTTTTAACATATATTCTGACCATTGTCCGGTCATTTTTTCCATTTGTGTAAATAAAGGTATGTCAGATAACGTGGCTGATGAGTGTTCCGTGAGTCAGCATGAGAGATTACAGCGCGTGAATGTGAAATGGAAGGATGCGAATACAGAGGAAGTTACGAGAGTACTAGAGAGAAATATTGATAGTTTAATAGATATCTGTAATGTATCTGATCTCAGCAAAGCTAGTATTGATATGAGTGTAGATACGTTCGCATGTGAACTTAATAATCTTATTTTACCTTTTTGTACTAGTAGTAATAATGTTATACGTAATAATGTGAGAAACTCAGACAGAGTTGATGATAAACCATGGTTTAACGTACATTGTAAACGATTATATAGAGAGTATAAAAACGCCCTTTACACGTTTAATAATTGTAAAAACGATGAAAATCGTATTAGTCTTACTAATAAGAAAAAAATGTATAAAAAGTTGGAATATAAACTTAAAAAAGAATACAAATGCCATCAAGGTAACATGTTAAACTATATGAGAAAACATAATCCTAGGGCATTCTATAAACACTTTAAAAATCGAAAAAAGAATGTAAAAAGTGAACTGAATGCAACCGATTTTTTCGATCATTTCCAAAAGTTAGCTATATCCAGCCCAACCAATAACGATGACGTTAACGATTTTTTGCTTGAACATGACACTAACGGTCCAAATGTTACATTTGAAGAGTTAGACGTTAATATAACAGAGTCTGAGATATTGTGTGCAATAAAGAAATTAAATACAAATAAGGCATGTGGTCCT